ACATTCACAGTCTATCTCTCAGGGGACAACATCAGAGAGTTTCTGCTCAGCCTGCGGTACTTCCGGATCTTCATCGCATTGTGGAACATCTTCATCATGTTCTGCATGATCCTGTGAGTAAGACTGTGTCAGTCGATGCTGATGGACCAGATGCAGTTTACTGAGAGGCACGCAATTACTTGTGCTGTGGGCTTTAGCTATTTTTATCCTAGTGTTTGTTTCATAGGGAGCATGATGGTTCAAATCGTGGAGAACGTAGAGTTTGCACGTTCTCTCCATGCTTGCATGGGTTCTCACTGTGTACTTCAGTTATATTTTTTTATACTTATACTTTTATCTACGACTAAAGGCTTTCTAAAATTCTGACACTCTCACATCGTTAGCAGCTCGCGATTCAGTATCTTACTCATGTGATAGACAACCACCACCATAGCTGCACAAAGACATGCATGGGTTTGGTGAATTGGTGACTCTAAATCGGCCTAAAAGGTGAACACCAGTGTGAATGTCTGTCTCTCAGCGTTAGCCTTGCAATAGATTAGCAACCTTTCCCTGTACCCTGCCAACCTTATGACAGCTGGGATAGGCTCCAGCTGCTGAATTGGGCACCGACTTGGATAAGCATAGGAAGATGCATAGATATTTGTTTCATATGTTGTGCTCCAAATATGAGAACGTGCTGAAGACTGATGTTGAGCCACATAAGCTTTCTTTGTGACACAGATTCCAATTGTTGCCAGAAACCTAGACCAGTGACAGTAATGGTTGCCACGACAAAAAAGTCAGAAGTTTTGAGTTTGGTCTTCTTGTGGGATTAGATTTTATTTTTTTATTTTTTTATTTTTTTGTTAATTGAGTTTTTTTGACACCATTTCACATATCAAAAAAAAATCCCAGAAAGTTCATTTCGTTCATCTGGATGTTGCTTTTTCAGTGGGACAAATAGTTTAGTTGCTCATCAAAGTAATTTTTTTCACTCTTTCTGAACTTTGTAAACAGTACATTTTCTCAGTAACAGGAAGAACTCTAAGCACCAAGCCAAAGTGTCTGCTCTTGGAACTCTGTTCTCATTCCACATATTTCACATAGAAGCAGAAACACGGGTCTGCAGTGAAATCCCCAGTTTCACCGACTTTGGCTAATTTGTAGCCAAAAGAACAAAGTGGAGAAATAAAGGGCTCTGTTATTGTATCCTGGAACACTGTTGAGCAATTGGTTCAGGTATGTGGATTATACGTGGGTGAAAAATCAAATTTCACGATGTACCACAAAGCATTTCTCACATTATCAAGTTCACCAGGGAGGAAATGAAAAATGGCAGGCTAGCTTTCTTAGACTGTCAAATTGCCATTAGTAATTGGGGACATTTAAACGTCGACGTGTACTTTATAAATCAATGCACACGGATCAGTATTTCATTCTTGACTCTCGTTCTCCATTAAAACATAAACTGGGTGTCATCAGGACACTACAACACAGAGTGAACACCATCACCACACAGACCGGCTTGGGAAGCTGAAGGTCATCGTATGAAAAATGGCCCTGAGGGAATGTGGTTGTCCCAGCTGGACATTTGTCAAAGCTGGGAAGGCACCTAAAAATAGCTGCAGGCAATTCAGGGGAGAAGGACAGTCACTACCTAAGCAAAAACCTTTACATGGAAAGGTAGAGACCATCTCTGAATCCAGGAGGAGGCCCAGGGGTACATCTTTCACCACTCTGGAGCTATTACTGTTACAGCTACAGCATTTTACCAGTGCTGTAGCTCTAATAGTGTGTTGCAGCTACTTCCCAACTCTCTGGCCATTAATCAACGGTCATGACCATTTGCATATGATCATGCAATGATCATGAAACTGACCTCGTGAGCTATTGTTAGGCAATGGTGCTACTCCTAAAAGCTTAACAAAAGAAGGCAGCTGAAGTTTGTCAAGACTTTTCCCCTCTCAGTCAAGAGGGCACTTCAGTTCTAAAAACAAAAGGTGGAGGAGTCGCAGATATTTAAACCCCTAGATTGTCCCTTAGGAGGTGGCCGTTGACACTATTGATCATGTGCGTCATCACATCACAAGGTTTGAGGAAAAAAAAAGGCTGAGTGGAACCACTGTGACACCCTGCCCTGCCCTACCATGGAAGCTATTGAGGTCAACTGAGACGAGGTGTGAACGGGCGGAGATGCACCTGGGAAGGATAATCAAAACTGAATTGTAGGTGGCTGATAGCTGCTGTCATTGTCACCACCTCTGTTAAGTGATGGTCGTTCACAGTGGACATGCATGGCCTCTCCAGAAGTTGTTTCTGTTCATCTGGACGTAGCGTTTTCAGTGGGAGAAACGTTCGTTACTCATCCAAGTGACTTCTCAGCTGACTGCAGGTTTCCCCAATCTTATAAACAGTACATTTGCATAATGACTGAAGCTAGTCCACAGAAGGAACAATGGACTGGAAGGTCTGTTTCTTCATCACGATCGTGGGGCGATCGTGGCTCAAGAGTTGGAAGTTCGCCTTGCAATCAGAAGGTTGCTGGTTCGAGCCCCAGCTTGGACTCGGTCGTCGTGTCCTTGGCATTGCCATTAGTTAGCATTGCCGTTGTGTCCTTGGGCAAGACACTTCACCCGTTGACTACTGGTGGTGGTCAGAGTGCCCGGTGGCGCCAGTGTCCGGCAGCCTCGCCTCTGTCAGTGCGCCCCAGGGTGGCTGTGGCTACAATGTAGCTTTCCATCACCAGTGTGTGCATTGTAAGATGGCGAAAGATAGGCCACCTCCTCAATTCAGAGATGGTCTTTCCCTATTCACGTAAATGGGTGAATAGGGAATGCGCTCAAACCAACGTTCCTCCCTGTCCAGGATGTGTACCAGTTGTCTTCTTTGTCCAAAGTGTGAACATTGGCATCCTCGATAGAGGATAGAGTGACCTTTGTTCTTTCGGTATAGATTTACAGCTGAGTCCTGTCCTGTTGAGGTGACTCTTCTATGGTGTGCCATGCATAGATTATATAATTAGGTCTTAACCTTTTGTTTTTAGAAATGAAGAACCCTCTTGGATGAGAGGTGTAACATCTTCACAAACTTAAAGTCTGGTTGCCTTGTTTTTCAACCGGTTAAGACTACTGTGACCTGAATTACTGAGAACGTTTCTCCTTCTGAAAATGCAAGTCCATGTGAATAAATTCAACTTTCTGGGATACTGTATTAGTTTTCACTGACACATATAAATGCATTATATTTGGGGAGGATATTTAAGGATTACGCCATGTTTGCTTTTAAAGGTAAAATGCAGTTGTGGGGTAGCAGTAAGCTGCAGACATGAGTCAGCACCTTCACATGTTTTTCAAGTTAAACATTATAACAAGAAAAAAATGTGACTGTTGCTGCCAATGAAGTCTTACTGCTTTGAAGGGGGGTAAAGTAATCCAGAAGTCAATTCTTTACAACTGGGAGCAGAAGAAACTTCTTACAATTCACATTATTAGTCTGAGTCTGCAGTCTGGACAAACACTGAACAACCAAAGCTTGGTGTGAAGAAACTTGAATTTGGTGTTTAAAGGATGAAGCCGTGGACCCAATCTGAGAACCCTTCAGACACTTGTTTATATCAGTCAGTGTTTCTGGGGATCTCTGATGACCACGTCTAACTTTGTTATTACCACGGTTTTCTTATGTGCCAACATACCAAACAAATTGCCTCAAAATGCTTTCATAAACCTGATGATGGGTTCCCCAATCCCCAGATCCAAATCCAGTGGTGCACCTTTAGGATGTGGTCAATCAGGAGGATAACACCATGATTGCACAGCTGATAAATCAACACAGAATATGTGATGCAGTCATGTAGACATGGACCAGGAGTCCTTTTGTTACAACTTATATAATCCATGAGTCCATCTGAGAGTGAATGAAGTCCCAACTCAGCATTACTGAGGTTAAACCTATAAAGTGCTTGATGATTGTGCTGTCCTGTCTTTTTTGTGTGTGTGTGTAAATCAAACGTTTTTATGCCCTTTAGATGTGCGCTGCTTCTCCTGAAATTAGCAGAAGTGTGCTGCTGTTCTAACTAGCCAAATGTCTTCAATCTGCACAGATTGTTTGGATCATGATCGTGTGTGGCCAGTGGACTTCCTCCAAGATGCTTCCCTTTCCAGATGGATGCTGTCAGCTTCTCCTTAATGTCCTTTTTCTCTTTCTTTGACCCTTTTACTAGTAATTATACTCCTTTTGGTTTACAACCCTTTGTGCTGTACAGGAATTTATGAATGGCTGTATTTATTCTTCTCTTGTTACATTTTTATTGATCTTTCTTTAACTGTAACACCTTTGCTGGAAACTTGTGGTTTTGTAGTTAGTGGTAAAGAAACACCAGAAACATCATTTTATTCCTTTTTCCTGCACAGGCTCAGTTCATCCAGGTTCCACAGAAAAATCTGCATCTGATTTGTGAGTTATAAATAGGATTATTTTACTCACTTATGTGTTTGTTTTCAACTTCTTAGGGGGGGAAATTGTGCTATTTTCTTTATTCAGCAGCACATGTGCTGTAATTAAATGTATATTCACTGTAAATGTGACCTTATTCTTAATAAAAAATAAAGTTTTATTATCAAATATGTTCTGTCTTTTGAAAGAAGGCAAGTCAAAAAAGGCAATGTGATTTTCTGGGCTATATTCTGGGAAGCCTCGGGTCTTGGTGTACATGTGGGTTACTTTAACATGCTGCACCTGCCTAAACATTGTTCCAGACCACCTGCATCCAGTCAACAGTATTCCCTGATTGCAGCGGCCTCTCTCAGCAGGATCATGTGCCCTGTCGCACTGCAGAATTTGTTCATGAGTAGTTTAACACAGATAAAGAGTTCAAGGTCTTGTCCTGGCCTTCAAACCCGCCCATATCTCAGTTTGAGCATCTGTAAGGGGTATGGGAAATACAAGTCAGACTCATGGAGGCCCCTTGAAACCTGCTGCTAACATGTTAATGTGCGATTCTGCACGACATCTGGAGTGGGCCTGTGGACTCGATGCTTCCAGGCATCCGGGTTTCAGCTACAAAACAGAGCAGCATAATATTCATTCACTGGCATCTTCATTAGACACAACTAAGAGGCTTGTTAAAGCAGCCAGTCACATTGCAGAAACATAATGCAATCAATGCAGCGCAAAATATCTGTCGTTACAACCAAGATATACAGAAGAGCATCCCTGAACACACATCAAACCTTGAAGCAGATAGGCTACAGGAACACAAGACCACACTCCTGTCAGCCAGTAATAGGAAACTGAGGCTACAGTTCACAGCAGCTCACCAAATCAAATTTAAACAATAGAAAATTATAAAAGTGTTGCCTGGTCTGATGAGTTTTAAGTTCTGCTGCAACATCCAAGCTGTGGGCTCAGAATTTGGCATAAACAACATGAAAGCACAGACCCATTCTGCCTTGTATGAATAGTTCAGATTAGATGTGGTTTGATGGTGTGGGGGGACATTTTTTGCCACTTTGGACCCCGTAGTACCTGCTGAACATCATTAAAATGCCACAGCCTACAGCCTACCTGAGTATTGTTGCTGACCGTGCCCATCCAGCAGGATAACAACCATGTCACAAAACTCAAAACATCTTAAACCATAACATGTCTCAGTGTCATGCTGCAGCATGTCTGAAGAGATATTTATCCAGGCTAGAAATCCAGTTTCTGGAGATGTTATGGTGACCAACAACCAGCAAACTCTCCTCATGCAGCAGCTCTTCATCTTAGGTGAAATAGAAAATTACTACCCAAAGAATCCATCGTCTCTGTGTACTTCTAGTGACTCAAACAGTTGGTGAGATTCTCTTCTAATCCACAAGTAACTTACCAGACGTGTGAGAAGACAAGTGGTTGTTATCGCCTCTGAGCAGGCTTGACACAGCCAGCAACAATCAGGGTTTTATGTCATTCCTCCTTGGTATTGTGTTAACACACCTGAATGCTCCAGAGTCGTCTGCTTTTACATAGGTGCTCACATTTGCTGATGATCAGATAATCAAGTGTGTTTGATTATCAGCAGTTTGCTGCTAATTGCCTTTTTAATTCCAGTGGAAGCAGTAAGGGTGGAGTTAGTTTTAATAGGACTGTATCTGTTTTGGAAAACATAGAGAGTTGTGCATTTTTAAATACTAAAATATAACTATAACAAAGCTTATCCCAGCTTAAAGAGATTAAGCTGTTTTGGGGAAAAGATTTAGTTTAACAAAACAAACATGTATCAACCTTAATCTGAATAAAACTGAAGCAATCATGTGTTTATAAAATTAAGAAATCTTTTTAAGGGTGTGTTCATGACTCTTTGTGTTCTTTGCCTTTCTCAACAATGCTGATTTAATCAACTGCAAACTCGGCCTGTCTATTAGCAGAGAACTGAAGAGATTTGGTGAGGAGGTTTTTTTTGGTTATCAACTATATGGCAACATCATGTGGCATACACTGTTTCTCATTTATAAACAGTTTATGCACAAGATTTTTGAAATTTAGTGTATTTTTCAGTTGAAATATCCATACATATTTTCCATAATCATTTTTTAGTGAATAAGACTTGTTTTGTATGGTGAGATTTTGATGACCGTCCCTGACAGAAGAGATATCATCAAAGGTGGCTCCAACGTCAAGCTTCAGTTTCAAGTGAACTGGAAGGCACCTTGATTTATTAGTTAGATGTGGAGGACGTTCAGACGAGACAAAAATATGAATTTGGTATTATTAAAGGTTATTTTTGTGTAAGAAAATTTTAACTATGGAGTCCTTTTATATACAGCATAGTCTCGCTTTCTATCTTTAAATTTATTAGACCACCGCCTAGTATACGGTTTATTACACAGATGCTCTAACAGTATTTGTCATTTCCATTTGTTATGCTTCTGTCATGACTAATCTAACAGAATGTATTTAATGCTAAAATATAATTATTGTTTTACGATACATTAAGATACAAAATACAGATATTTACTTGCATTCCTGCGTAGAAAAAATGGTTGAATGTTATGTTTTATTAATATAATTCCTTACTTCTAAGAGAAGCCCCGTATGGCGATGAACAACTCATTGGATTGACATGAATTCAATTTCTTATGATTGTAATAAATAATAGTTTTTTCTTTTAAACTCATTTGATAGATTTCCAGAATATGTATATATCCTTGTTTTAGCGACAGCTGCTCTAATCGATTTCTTAGGATGGGTTTTATGGACAACACCACCTTTCCGGTTTTATTGTCTTTCTTTTTTTGTTAAATTTACAGCTTGCTGCGAGCACGTGGATTTGACGCGGGTCGAAGCCGGTTACGTAAAGATTTCCCACAATGCTCTGCTGCCTCACAAAAAGCTGGGTGAGAAGGCCGAGAAGGAGGCGGCTACCAGCCGAGGGGGTAGCCGATTCCCGGAGAGGGTGTTCTGTCTCCTGCAGTTAGCGGTACCAAACAGGTGAGGGTGGCGATTGGAAACAAAGACAGAAGCATCATAAAGCATGATGCCCGCTGCTTCGGGGGAGCTTCCGTCGGAGTTGTGAGTGTCGGCGGGTTTCCCATCGCCGGCTCTTCGGGGGATTCTGCTGTCTGTCTCCGTCCCGACCCGCGACACCGCCAGGCGATGACAGCGGCTACAGCCACTCCGCAGGTGATGAGAGACCGGCTGCTACAGGCCATCGACGGCCAGAGCAATGTGAGTATGTCCACTGGTTTTAAGCGGAATTAACTGGGTGGAGAAGAGCAGACAATGGTGGTCGAGCTGGTGGCCTCGAGTCGCTATAGGGGAACTGACAGAGTGGAGGCATTCAGCGTCTGGACACTTAGTATTTGCTTGCTAATTAGCTGGCTAACGTCTAGTTAGCGAAAGTGAGTGATGAAGCAGGCATGCCAGAGCCCGGTTAAGTTGATGCTGGCGACAATTGTGTGCACTTACAGTAGAGTTCATCAGGGCAAGAGAGGGGGACGTGCTGAATGTAGTGCAAGTTCCCTTTAGACACAGAGGCTCTGCAGAGAGGAGACCTCCAGCAGGGCTCCGAGGTTTGTAACGCCTTTATCTAAGATGACCCCGGGATTACTTTGGGTGTGTTACAGCAGTATAAACAGCCAAGCCGAGTTAGTCAGCAACCTACAAACATGTATGGCTTCTCAGTGAGCTACCCAGCACCAGCGACCATTACAAACAAATGGATTCAGAGCTGTTGTTGTTTACAGTGTCATTTAAGTACTCCTAGTGTGTTACTGCTGAGTGTCCAACACATGCCTGATTATCCACATGCCTGGGGTGTCAAAATAAGGCCCAGGGGCCAGAATCGGTCAGCAAAGATTCCAATCCGGCCAAACTGGATGGTTTTGGAAAATGTGAAGGAGGGCTTTTAACTCATTCACTGCCAATTTTCATGAGTTTTACAGCTTGTCCTACTGATAAAGCACCTCCCCTGTTGTCATTCATACTACACCTAAAATAATTAAGGTGGTTGCCTGGTGGAGGGTGAACGATCTTTTTCTGTCATTTTAGACATGCTGATAGGTGCCTTTCATTTACTGCAGCAGCAGCATTTCTTTATTAAATGGGATTAAATGTTTAGCTAAACTTCTTTACACTGACAGAAAGAGAGGTTTCACCGGTTTTGCCCGCTTTAGATCAAACTGGGCTGTGTGTGGCCCACAATGTAAAATAAGTTTGACATCCCTATCTACAATTTCTTATTTCAACATGCTTACCTGCAGTCATGCACTGGGGGGTGCTCTCTGTGACATCCTGCCAGAAAGCCTTGAAATGCCCAGCATCCCACACACAGTTTACACCTGATTTATGCTTCAGCAGGATATCAATGCTGTAACCTGATGTGCACTTCGCAAGTAATGTAACTACACGTCGGCTGACGCAACTATTGCCATTGGCCTGTTCAGATGCGTCGCCATAGTATGAAGAATAATAATCATAGGTTCAGTATAAAGATTCACAAATGTTGGCAGACTGCTGAAACTGCTTGGATGCATGTGAGAGAATGTACAAAGAAAAGCTTGCCACCAAATAAAACTCACCACAACAAAGAGAATTTTCCACTAGGACGGAAAATTAGTTTCTATCGGCTGGCACCAAATATAAAACACTGGGAGACGACCACGCGGTAAATAGCACGAAATGCAAACGCAAGAGCAGACCTGACCGTGATTCACTGCATCAATCAGAAGTCAGGGCTTGTGGTCCACAGTGATGTAAAGCATTTTATTCCAGAAGCATCTGCGTGTTACATTTTTGCCAATGACTCCTCACTCAACGTTTTTCGATCAGATGTTTTTTAATGTCATAAGTTTGATCGCAGGCACACTACAGCTAGAGTTGGGCTTTGGCTTTGCAAAGGAAATCCTCTGCTGCAACACATGTTAACTAATAACCACATTGTTGATCATTGCAGAAGTGGCTGCAGATTAAAGACAACAATCATCTGAATACGTGGGCTTTCTACTATTTTGGTGGACTAAAACAGCACATTTGCATGCTTTCTCGTTTTGACAAACTGAGCCCGAAACTAGTAAATGTTTTCTAAACGTACAGGTGCACATTTGAAAGTTTATTCAAATGATTTCTCGACCTTTTGATAAGTT